AGCCTCATAAACTGAGCCGACCTGTGACAATGAAACTATCACAGGTCGGCTCAGTAGATCGGGAAGTGAGCGAACACATACCGTCGCTCGCTCACTTCTCGATCTATCCCTGCAGAGAGCCGTGACTGTCACTCACGGCTCCCTGAAGTGATTCCCCCCCAAGCCTTGACTGACCCCATAGTTCTCATTCAATAAATGAATCTGTCGCTTCAGCATCACCCATTGCCATGCCAAGACTATTACAACCAAATTGTTTCACCTCCCAGCTCCCTCTGTAGGGGATCATGACTACTGACACACAAAATCCACTGTGACCATCCAGCGCCACCTATTGGTTTACAATGACTATAGCAACCCAATACACAGCATATGATTATTCATCGCCTCCAGTTGGCTCACCATGACACATAGCGCCGTCTATAGGTAAAAATACAGTAAATAACTGAGTAAGATCTATAGAAGGATCCTCCACCACACGCAGCTGCATAATACAAATAGGACTATGCAATGCCATGTATAGGTTCATCAAGGCTTCAGCATGTCCTAAATTGATGTGCCATTCTAGCGCCATCAACCAATTCCCTGTAAGTAAACTTGCTTTCATGATCATAACCTACCGGAGCTTTATGACTGCAACTGTTAAAGGCCATGTTTGCACTTATAATTGCCTATGCAGACAAGGGGCCCCAGCAAGGTAAAGAAAGTAGAACAGCTTTAAAAAATAAAAACCTAAGAAAACACCGGACGGCTGACCTGGCAATAATCCTTATTAATGGTAAAATGAAGTATAATATAACATACTCACAAAGGGAGCAAGATATATACATCAAATGGACTAGTAGTACTCAATAGATAAACTGCTGTGGAGATGAATGAAAATGATCCAGGAGCTCTGCTGGCAGCAGAGTCACGCTAACGCTTGCTAAAAGAATTTTCGGGGACACTGCCACTTTCTCAGTGCTGGGTAGCTCCACTATCACTGTGCTGATTTATAATGAATTTTCTCAGCTGTTCACAATTGTAGCCAGTAGCGTAACTTTATAAATACGCTTTATGTGCCATCTACTTGTTACAGATTACATGCAGATGCATTCAGCATTTCAATAAAATCTGTATCTAATGGACATCTGTTACTCAATACAAGAGGATGTCGAAGGAAACATTTTCACAGTGATCCCAAGAATGCTCTGCACAATAAAAAGCAATCTTTGTACAGGACCTTAAAAACTGCTGCCTGACAAGTCAATATTATATCTATGTAGATATACAGCGCCATCTATTGGTTTGCCATGACTACAGCAACTCTGATACGTCTCTTCAACGCCATCTATTGGTTTAAAATGACTACTGCCTCTATATAATACACGTGTCTCTTCAGCGCCATCTATTGGTTTGCTATGACTACTGCCGCTCTAATACATTTCTCTTCGACGCCATCTATTGGTTTCAAATGACTATTGCCTCTATATAATACGTCTCTTCAGCGCCATCTATTGGTTTGCTATGACTACTGCCGCTCTATAATACATTTCTCTTCAGTGCCATCTATTGGTTTAAAATGACTACTGCCGCTATATAATACGTGTCTCTTCAGCGCCATCTATTGGTTTGCTATGACTACTGCCGCTCTATAATACATTTCTCTTCAGTGCCATCTATTGGTTTAAAATGACTACTGCCGCTATATAATACGTGTCTCTTCAGCGCCATCTATTGGTTTAAAATGACTACTGCCTTACTAGAATACGTGTCTCTTCAGCGCCATCTATTGCTTTGCTATGACTACTGCTGCTCTATAATACATTTCTCTTCGACGCCATCTATTGGTTTAAAATGACTATTGCCTCTATATAATACGTCTCTTCAGCGCCATCTATTGGTTTAAAATGACTATTGCCTCTATATAATACATTTCTCTTCAGCGCCATCTATTGGTTTAAAATGACTACTGCCTCTATAGAATACACGTGTCTCTTCAGCGCCATTTACTGGTTTGCGATGAATAAAGCGTCTCTAATAACTTGCTCTTCATCGCCATCTATTGTTTTAGAATAACTACTGCCGCTCTATAACACGTGACTCTTCAGCGCCATCTTTTGGTTTAGCATGAATGCAGCAACTCTGCAATACATGCGTCTCTTAGGCAGGGTTTTTACACCACATTTCATTTTCGTCTTAATCTTTTGACGAAAATACATTTTTATTTTTAGTTGCATTTTAGTCATCAGATGAACTTTATTTTAGTCTAGTTTTAGTTGACGAAAGTCGAAAATTAAAGTCGATTTCAGTAGAATAAAATCTAATAGGTGTATTGGTTGTTCACATCTCACTACTAGAAGTGCTCAGGGAACCAAAAGCCAAATGCACTAGTGTGGGAACTAATTTTCGTTTGTCAACGAAAATTCTCAGAATATCCATTTCGTTTTCGTTCCATTAATTGCTCAAGTATTTTGTTTTAGTTGACAAAATTAACACTGCTCTTCGGTGCCAGCTATTGATTTACGATGATTGCAACGGCTGTGTAATAGGTTTGAGTTAGGCGCCATCTATTGGTTTCCTATGATTGTATAATATCTGTGTAATATGTAATATCAGCACAATTCTATTTTACGGTAGTTTGCAGTGACTGCAAACTGTGGCCATCCAGCGCCATCTATTGGGTAGCCATGAATACAGCCACTGTGTAATATGTGTAAAATCAGCACAATTCTATTTTACGGTAGTTTGCGGTGACTGCAAACTGTGGCCATCCAGCCACTGTGTAATAAATCTCTCTTCAGCGCCATCTATTGGTTATCCATGACTACAGCCACTGTGTAATAAATCTCTCTTCAGCGCCATCTATTGGTTATCCATGACTACAGCCACTGTGTAATAAATCTCTCTTCAGCGCCATCTATTGGTTATCCATGACTACATCCAGCCACTATGTAATAAATCTCTCTTCAGCGCCATCTATTGGTTATCCATGAATACAGCCACTGTGTAATAAATCTCTCTTCAGCGCCATTTGCATACCAAGACTATTACAACCAAATTGTTTCACCACTCAGCGCCATCTATAGGCTTCTCATAACTACAGACGCGAAATACAGAGTCCACTGTGACCATCCAGCGCCACCTATTGGTTTACAATGACTATAGCAACCCAATACACAGCATATGATTATTCATCGCCTCCAGTTGGCTCACCATGACACATAGCGCCGTCTATAGGTAAAAATACAGTAAATAACTGAGTAAGATCTATAGAAGGATCCTCCACCACATGCAGCTGCGCAATACAAACAGGACTATGCAATGCCATGTATAAGTTCACATGCCATGTATAAGTGCAAGGCTGAAGCATGTCCTAAATTGACGTGTCATTTGAGCGCGATCAACCAATTCCCTGTAACTAAACTTGTTTTCATGATCATAACCTACAGGAGCTTTATGACTGCAACGTTCACACTTTTACTATAATTGCCTATGCAGACAGGGAGCCCCAGCAAGGTAAAGAAAGCAGAACAGCTTTAAAAAATATTGATTCATTTAGGTGCCATGCTTGTAGGCCATTTGCACTCCCAACTGGGCCCTTCCTGTCAGGAAGGAGGTACTGTGACCTCTACGGGCCTCCCTGCCTCCCCCTACTCTGGGGTCTGCCTTCGCCAGAGCCCCCACCTAGTACTCAATGTACCTGTTTCGGCAGGTCCGAGAGGGGTTCGCCGACTTTCGGGTAGGTGGACCTAAGTCATTAATGCCCGTCAGGAGCCTTGCGCCCTGGGAAGGGGGGGAAATCAGGAAATCGAGGCCCTTCCTCAGAGGAGGACCATAGCACCCTTAAGCTGAATGGTCAATGGAATTCTTCACATCCTCTTTTCTTTCAGGCACTGTATTCACACTGTGAGCCTAAACTAATATCAGCTGATGTGCATGAGAGGATGGAAATGTCACATATACTATATAATGAAATACTCTGCACTCCACTAAACTAAAAACTGACTTTACCCAGATATAAGAATACCAGTCGTATAACAAATATTACGCAGACAATAGAAAAATAAATAAATATGTAACAGATAAGGAATTATTAAACCACCCAGAACACTGTTTGCAGATCAAACGTGCTGGCAATACGTCTCGTAGAATAAACATGGCAAGCCTGCTCTCCATTCACTACGCCCCTTATGCAAAATTTTGTCATGAAGTATAGGAAGAGGAAAAGGAAGACTCTCATGGAGCAAACTGATTTTATTTAAAATTCTGAAAACAAAATGATCCATTATAAATGACAGTACCATCACCCAGCACTAAGGAATAAACACTTAACCCAGAATAGGAGCAGCTTGCTACCACTTTCAGGTACTGTGCATGTGTGCGGCTCAATGCATGCGTGATGTCACAGTGCACGAGCCCCACTGGTACAGTACCAGGAAGTAGGGATGCACAGATACCGGTATTTCGGTACCAGTATTTTTTTTTCGGTACACGCCGATAATCGGAAGTCCCATTAAGGAAGCCAGGCAGCGTGTAATGACTCACCACCTGGCTTCATGATTAGCCAGGAAGATGTCCCCATGCTTCACGTCACTAGTTGATAAGAAAGCATGGAGCCGGCTTTCTGGCTAGTATAGCTACTAGTATTGGTGCATCCCTACCAGGAAGTGTTGATGAGGTGCTCTAACACTGGGTTAAAAGTCTATTTCTCAGTGCTGGGTGTTACCATTGTCATTTGTAAGTGGATTTTTAGTTTTAAAATAAAATCACTTTGCACTAAGAGGTTATTTTTAGCACTAATATAAAAAAAAGAAGTCATACATAGCAGTATTGCAGATCAGTACACGAACACAAAGGGCAATACATAATGGAAAAAGAAAAAAAAAAAACGAACAAATCTGCATTCATTTGCCATGTAGGATTCTCTTCCTTTTCTAGGCAGCTAAAGGTCATTATATAAGATGCAAAATAATTTAAAACAAAATAATTATCAGTCCATGCTTTAGATGCTATGAAACTACCTGTTTGTGCAGGTGGCAGATCCATTCAGCAAACTGGCGGGCATTGGGTATGGTGGCAGACAGAAAGACATAATGCACATTGTCTGGTAGAAGGATGATCGTTTCTTCCCACACTACTCCTCTTTCTGATAAATGAAAAAGTATATAAAACCCACATCATTAGAAGATCGAACATTAACTGACAAAAGACAACACATACTGCACATTGCAAGGAATTGTGATTGCAATAGCTCATGTTGTAGTTTACCCAATATAACCCCAACCCAATTCTGTCAGAATATTCACCTGTACATACACCTGTACCTGGGAGTCATGCCTGTAACTCTCAAGTCTTGCAGTGCCTCTTTTACTTTTTACTTTCTCTCACAAGGGCTGGAGTTGCCCGCCCATGGGTCAAGGTGTAATCTTTATTTCACCTTGATGGATGACTGGGTACATGTACATGTGCTGTCTGTATTAAATTACATTTTTTATAACAAATTTCCATTCAGAAGTTCCAGTTTGAATCTAATTTCCCACATCTGTATACAGAAGCATATAAGCCAAAGTACCTGAATCTCTCATGTAGTGAATTTCATCAAATATGACCCAGGCAACCTCTCTCATGACTTCTGAGCCTCTATACAACATGCTTCGCAGGATCTGCAGAAGACAAGACAAGAATTACTCATCATGCAGTAAAAAGGAACTGATGTACACCAACTATAAAAAGTACAAATGAAAACTACCTCAGTTGTCATCACAAGGCAAGAAGCGGTGGGGTTGATTGTTACATCTCCAGTCATTAATCCAACATCATTGAATTCTTCGTACATCTCTCTGTATTTCTGGTTACTTAGAGCTTTGATGGGACTGGTAAAAATGACTCTCTGCTTTTCTCTTAGAGCTAAAGCTATAGCATACCTGTTTAGGGGAAAAGCACAGAAGATAACAATTAAAAACATTTACATGTATGGAGGAGCAGAGTATGATCAGCAGGTGGACCAGAAGAAGATCAGCACAGCTCTGTTGTCTGATCTCCTCTACGGTTACTGAAACCAGAAGGGACATTATTTTGTCACTTCCAGTTTCAGCCGGTCATTTCTCTGCAGTAGCCGGAGAAAAAGCACATGAAGTATGATCTGTGCATCATCAGCTTCTTTGGGGGCCATAGGTGTCATTAGAGGTCTAACAGAGCATCTGACACTTCCTCCGTGCCATCACATAGCCTCCTTATTAGCCTCTTATGTGATAGTAATAACGTTAGTTCCATCACTCACTGTTAACTCTAATGAACCAGAAAATACGTTTAAAGCGTTGCTTATGGGCAGTTTTGGGTACTTTGGTTTTTTTTTTGCCATTTTTACGGTTGTGCACAATTTTAAGCTTGGACATGTCTGGCACCTATTTACCCGACACAAACACATTATTATATTTTGGTGCATTTTTCCCCTAAACATACCAATTTGATAAACATTTGGATGAATATTGTGCAACTTAAACTGCAACAAGCATTTTTTAATTCTCCAGGGCCTCTGCTTACAGAAAATATATATTTGTTTAAGGGTTTGAAGCAGTTTTCTAGGCAACAATTTAGATGTGTGGGAAAAAAAAATGAATAAATTTGGCCTGGTAGTGAAGTGGTTAAGTTCCCTTACCTGCCCCCCCACTTCACTCACAAACTGAGGGCAGAAAACATTGAGCATGGAGAGACCAAAGCATTCACATGCCCCCCACCTCGTCTGTGATGTTAGGTGGTCACGTGGTTATGGCCAGATCGACAGCTCCCATCCAAGCATCCTTTAAATTTGGCACAGACAAGCAGCATGGCAGAACAAAGAAGCGGTAGGTAGTGTTTTAAGGATTCTGACTTAGGCTGGGCACACACACCTTACAACCATCGCAAGACTTTTGTCTTGCGATGGTTGTAAGGTACTTAAAAAAACGTACGATCTGCCTATCTTGCATAGGCAGATCGTACTTGCGATGATCGCAAGCCACGCCCCCTGAGGGGCGGGCTTCCGATGACCGCAATGCCGAACGGGCAGTGTGCGCTTGCGCACACCGGCCCGTACGGCTGTTATCGTCCGGACATGCCACAAACCCGCCCGACATCGGACGATGCTCGGCAGGTTTTCGAACATGTCCGTAAGTTAAAAGTCGTGCGACCTTACAGTAGTAGAGGTCACACGGCTTCCACACACCTTACGATAATCGTACGATCGCGGGATTTCCCGCGATTATCGTAAGGTGTGTGGGGACCTTTAGAACACATTGTACACCATTGCTGGATAGCACAAATGGTGCAGACATTTGTAATACATATTTGAAGGCAAGAGACAGGCTGGAGGGAGCATTCTAACAGCTATGCGGCTCCGATGATTGGGTGAGTATAACTGTTATTTTTTGTCCCTAGACGAAAATGAGCACTTAACCCTTGCAGCGCGGGGGTAGCTCCACTGGAAGGGTTTCGAAATGTTTTGCCCGGAGTTCTAACTGACTTACTAATCTGTGTGCTTGTTCCAGATCATCACTGAAAGCATTGAAGCCAAAGAACTCGTATTCTATCACCTAAGCAAGAATGAAGTATACCTACTCTGCACACACTGTTTTTCCAGCTGATGTATGAGCAGACACGAGAACGGACTGGTTGTTATCAATACACAGAATGGCCTCCCTCTGAAATGCATCCAGTATGAACGGATATTCCTGAAATGGGTAGAAAAGTCGTTTTGTTTAAAAAAAAAAAAAAATTATTTCATAAACGCAGAATCATGACAGAATTCCTTCTGCATGATGGAAAGCAAAACGCTGTGCTAATATGACAATTCCAAACTTGTCAAGAAACATTTAATGCAAAACTACCAAATATCCTTTATCCTAGTTATTACAAATGTGTTAAAAATACAGATTTTACAGCAAAGTCAACAAAAGTCAGCAAAGTCAGCTCTACTGCATTGCCTCTGGCTTAGGGCCCATTCAGATCATGCCGATGTGATGCCTGGTGGTGCATGAACACGTGCACGGTTTTATTGGGCTCACATTGTGTCCCAATGCATATTCTAATGGTTATGCACCGTCTTTAAAATGAATGGCACCAGAAAGAACCAATTAACAGTAGCGAAAAGAAAAAAAAAAGTCCCACACAGAGCAGCATTTATAACTCAATGAGCATACAGGAGAGACGATAAAAATAGGATTTTGGTACTCACCGTAAAATCCTTTTCTCTCCGTTCATTGAAGGACACAGGGAACAGATCGGAGATCATGTACTGTAGGGTAATATCGATTCGTCGTCACTACCAGACTCCGCCTGAGAGGAGTCCTCCTGGTCGGGCTGTGCGGCCGCAGTAGAAATTTCCCCCTCTTCCGCAGAATCCCCAGAAAAGACCGATGAGGGGGCCGGCAGAGCGCGCTTCCGTGGGGGGCGCTGCGTCAGCGCACGCTCCATACGGGACACAAAACCGTCCATGGTGGAGGAAAAAACTGCAATCAGAAATAGTGGCGTCATCTTGCTGCAGTGTGGCAGAGGTGTGGGAATCATACACACTATTTGTTCTATCTTACAGTGCACCTGTGCCCAGACTATAGACATTAAAGTATTTACATCAGCAACAAAAGAGCTTTAAAACAATCCTCCCCGACCTCTTCATCTGCATGTACTAATAATTAGTTCTAAAGGATCCTCAAGAACAATAAAGACTCTAAAGTCACTTCCAGTCAGTTCAGTACAGCACGTGGTGTTTGCTGTCATGGTTCTGCTTTAATAGAAAGTAAAGGCAACTGTTATTTCATGGTCTCTGGTGTGAATTTTGAAGACAGATTTCTCCACAATGCATATAGCTACAGAGGGGAATAAGGGTTTGTTTTAATGTGCTTCTACTGGTTGTTCAGAATATGCGAATACTTAAAATGTGCAAAGCATGGATACAGATTCACTTTATAGCCCTTTTGTGGAAGTTTTTTTAAGCTTTGATAAAAATAAAACCCAGGATAAAGTACTCTGCATTTAACTGAAACAAACCTTTGAAGCTTTCCCAACCCGCGGTTTAAGAGGCATGTACTCTTCATCAGCAGGCAGTGCCACCTAAAAAGAGAAAAAAAAACCCATAATACCCAAGCATGAATATTTCAGTTTGCCATTTCCTATCCATTGCAGATATGTTGCTGCCTACAATGTTTATAAAGAGGGATTTTTAAAAGACAATTCTAGAATTTTTCTTTTAAGTTGGATAGAGTGAAAAGAACCGTCAGGTGTTTTTGCCGACATTGTCAATCTCTGGAATGACAATGCATTCAGCAATGAAAACCTGACAGTATTTTTATGCCGTTCCAAATCCAGTAATAGAAAAATAAATAAAATCTGTACAAGTCATCACTGGAGGCATTTTCCCCAACAGAGGTTGCAATAACCCTTCCTCACCCTACTGAAAATAAAAATGTTGCCTACAGTTCTACTTTAGCCCCTTTCTATTGGTCATGCTCATATGTAGTAGCATGGCGGGAATCTAGAATGCCAGGCTGCAACATAAACAGCCAGCACTGCTGTTTTGTGCTGAGAGAACCCTCGACTGGCTTGACACTGACAGCTCAGTCACCAATTGCAATTGGGAGCTGGTAGGATGGGCTCCCAATCATGTAAAAACCGATAGCCAATCACAGTGATCACATGGTCAGGTGCCCGCCTAACGACCACTGGTGTTACCTCCCCTAAAAGGCTGGCTGCTGCCAACAATTAGGGGTTAAACACAAAACATATACAGTTTTTATTATGAATACCTTTTGAACAGAATGAAACATGACTGCAACAGGTGATCACTGAGGGGCTCTATATAGCTAAAAATTTGTGAACACCACTCCAAATGAATAAGTTAAAAAGACACTCATCTTGCTCAGACCAGTGAGTGTGACAGAGTCTTGCAAGGTGAGAATCAGTGGGTTGGGAGAAACACTTCACAGAGCTCAGCCGATGTTGCCTCTGCTGTTACAGCCAGCACACTAAAATCTCCATCTGTTGTCAGATGGGGGGAGGGGGAGGAGCAGTGACACCACTCCCTTGGTCGTGTGATAGTGCTAGGGTCTTATGGTTGGCTGCTAGAACTGAGCACAGTCACATAGGAGATCACATGCTTCCCCTATACCAAGAGGCATCAGATATTTCGATAAGACTATGGCAGAGGGAGCTGTAGGGGTGCATTAAGAAGGTGAGTATCAGAGGGGGGGCGCCTTGATAGTTTCTCTTTGAGGTGCACTCAACCGAGTCTATAAAGACTTATGAGTTTGGTGTGGAGGAACACAAGTGGCCTGCAAAGAATGCCAACCTCAACCCTAGTGAAGATCTTTGGGATGAATGCCAACTGTAAAGTAGGTAATCTCCTTTAACGTCAGTACCCGACATCACAAATTCCCAGACACACTCCAGAGTCCTGTGGAAAGACTTCCTGGAGGAGTGGAGGTTGTTGTGGTGGTGAATGTCCAACAAGCTCATATAGCTGTGATGACCAGGAGTCCGCAAACTTTTCGCCATAGTATCATAATATACAGCAACAGAAGATAACAAGTGGTAACTTAAGATATAAAAAGCACCAGTATTGTATGTGAAAATAAGCAACAGGACATAGTAATGGCACCAAAAAATTGCAGCAGTGAAAAACAGAAGCAACCAAAGACGGCAAAAAAATAAAATAAAAAATAGCCCATAAATATGTCAAAAGTATCACAACCCAAAAATGAGGCATAAAGAAGCCGGCCAAAACATGCAAAGAGTGAGCAACAGAATGACCCTCAGATGATAGAAGCATGAACATGTACTTGGTCCAGCAATTGGAGCATTCCACAGACAACTATACCTCATGTGTGCAACCTTCAACTGTATCTACTTCCTGCACTTTTATCCTCGGCATTAGATCTGCAAGACTGTAAAAAAAAAACAAAAAAAAGCATTATTTCTTCATCAAAGCATATTGTCTCAGCCTGTATGCTATGTCTTTATGGCTTTCAAGAAAGATGTATTTCAGATATAACTTTTACTGTGAAGCTGAGCAGAGTTGGAGGACCCGAAGTATAGAAGCTGTGCACAAAAAAGCAGAGGGTTAATCACCAGTATTGTCCGTGGTCTCTCTGCCGCTGGTCTTTTCCCTATTACTTGCTCCAAGCTCCCTCACGTGATGAACTACAATCTCAGTACAAATTAGTAACCTAAATGTGAGATTGTAGTCCATCACAGGAGTGAGCTTGGACCGGTGACTACTTTCCAACACACACAGGAACCATGGGGAACAATAGTAGTCACCCTCCAGAAGGAAGGACAGTGTCAGCACCAATTCAGAGATGATTGGAGTATCTACAGCCGAGTGATACACAAATAAGATACATTTTTGTTAATAGTTGAGGTAATTGAATGTATTTTTAAAGGTTTAACTCCTGAGTTTAGTGCCACTTTAAAGGAAACACACAGTTTGCTACTGTCAACGCCTTGCAAAAATGCAAGTTGCCTTGGCTGCCATGCTGATTCAATCACCTCAATATTTTTTCCATTAGTGACCTGGAGTATGTCCATTCATTCTGACCATGTTTGTATCAGGTGAGTATTGAGGACAGTCATGTACATGGTGTTTGCAGAAAGTCATCAGCAATGACAGTCTGAATATTTATCCACGTACAGAAGTATTGATTATCTATATGACATTTTATTAAAGTGCATCTGAAGCCAAAACTTTTTTTTGTTTTAAATTTGGAGTGGTGAGGGGTTAGATCCTCCGTCAGGTTATCACACAGCTGTCAGTGTTCTCGCTGGGGAGAACATTCTCAACGTGTCCTGATAACAGCTGTCAATGAGACGTCCATAATTTTGGAATTGAAGGGAAATGTACCAGTGGGGACACTTGTTCCAGTGAGTTTTTCCCTGACTTCCTGTTGTGTGTTCAGGACAAGAAGCAAAAGGGAAATCCCAGTGGCAAAAAAAACAGATGGGTTTTAACTAGGAGGAGCACAAAAATGACATTTTGAGACCGCAAAATAAAAACAAAAAGGTCAGGCTTAAAGCAAAAATTATTTTTTTTCTAACAATTTTAAATGTTTTTATTTTAAATTTATTTTTTACCTAAACTTTTTAATTTTTTTATATTTTATTTATATTATTCTTATTTTTGTTTAACTTTACTGCTTTTATATCAGGGGTATAAACAGATTCCTAATATTTCCCTTTTACAATAGAAAAAGAGATTTTTAGAAAGACCTGAAGCGCAGCATCTGCATTGCTCCCAGTTTAGGTTTCCTTCAAAAGGCCTCAGCCTTTAGATAGGCAGAGCCAGCTGTCATTCACGCAGCTGGGCGGACCCAGACATAATTGTTGGGATCCGTTTCAGCTGCGGTGTCTCAGTATACCACGAGCTGCAGCTAGCGGTATACTGAGCTAAGGGTGAAGGGAGGACGCTAGTTTGTGTCCTTCCGTTACCCTAAGGAGAACTATGGGGAAAAGCCCTGACCCCATAGTTCCCCTTTAACATCATCACATCACGCAGATAACTCCCAAGTACCCCGGGACTGAACATTCTTACTTCAACTCATCCGCAGCTGTTGTATCAAGCTTCAGCTTCTTCCCCAATATACATTCCTCCGGTCCATCCAGAGAGCCGACATCTCGCTTTGTCACCGAAGGCGGTCTTGCAACTGCTGCTTGAGGCTTCGCATTTCTCTTCCTGGTAATAGAAATTCACACTTAGTAATAAAGTAAAGTCAGTCTGTGTGTAATAAATATATATATATTAGAGCGGTATAAACAATCACACATTTTGTCATTATTTGAAATCATGTAATTCAGTTTGATGCAGGTTATATTTAACCCTAAAAATGAACTTCTCTTACCTGCTTCCTTTTGGTCTGTTACATATACCATTAAAAGTGATTTGTTTCTGTTTGATAATTGCAAAAAAATTGTTCTCAGCTTACTATCAACATCTCCAACTATGTCATGT